ACTCTAAGTCTGGTGCCCTTTTCACTTTTCAGGAAGGAATCCAAATCAGTCGAGTCCCGCAGCACCTTCCACATCTGTGTTCTGCAGGAGATGCTGTGTGGAGACAGGGCATGTGTCAGAGTCTTGACTGGCTCTCTCCCTGAGGCAGCTGTTTGTACAGTCCTGATGGGAAAGTATATACAGGGTGAGAGGCATGGTGAACTTCCAGGCCTGCCATGAGGATCATAGCCCAGCCTTAATCTACTAGTCCCTGCTTCCACGCTGTTCCCTCAGTCCTGAAAATCCTGAGATCCTCCTAGACACTTTATGGGCAAAGCATAAAAAAGGTTCACCTAGGGTTTCTCTGGACATGTGGAAATGGACAGACCCTCCAAGCCCCAGGAGGAGCTCTGGCTATATTTCAGGACAAGCATGAGTTAGTAAGGAAGGCCAAAGCCTTTTGGATCTGAGTGTCTGTTGAATGTAAGAAGTCTGTAATTCCATGCCTTAGGAAATTCCTTAATGGCTACAGCATTCCAGTGTGGACAGGCCTGGATGTGAGTAAAGCCTTTAATAGGAATCACATGGGTATTGGCCCACAGGTCAGGAAGTTAATGATTATTCATAGCGAATGTAGATTTTCTCAATCCCAGCAATTTTTCTAGTGAAGACTTGCCCACCAGTACAACTTGCCCTTTTTAATGGAGTGGTTTGCTTGGCTTTACTTTGACAGAACAAGCCAAGCTGGACCTCATTGTCCAGGCATCCTAAGACCTACTTTTCACTAAAGAAGATTTGTATAATAAAATGATTATTTTATTAATTGGGGTGGATGAAAGGGAGGGTTGAAACACCAATCTCCAGTACCTTGTCTATATCAGATGGGTGGGCATCTCATTCTTGAAAGGTTTTATAGACAATGAGTCTAAGAGTAAAACAATGGAGAAAACAAAATTACACCCTAATCAACTTTCTTCCAACCTTCCATCAAGAAAGATTCAGAGTCAAGGTAGAAGCCTTTCCCAGTTCTCCTTTTTCAAAGCCACTACAGAGAAGTCTCATTTGGACAGTGTCCAAGTTTAAAAGCCCCACAGCTAAAGTGTGTGTTGTGCAATTTCTACAGGAGAGGCAGCATGGGGTAGTGGAGGAAATGCTGGGCAAGGAGTCCAAGGCCTTGGCCTCTCGTCCAGACTTTGCTACCTACTCAGTATGGGACTTAGGTCATCTCCTCATGCTTCTGAACCTCAGTCTTTACAAAGGTAAATAAAATGATAGTACCCGACCTATGTACCTAAGGAAGTGGTTATGAAAATCAAGTAAGGTAATGGGTGTGAATGTTTTGTAAATCACCATTGAAGGTGGTATTGAAATAGAACGAAGGAATCAGATCTGTGTTCCGGTTCTTTAATAAGCATCTTCTGTGAACCACTCTCATTGCTTATAGAGTGGAGCATATACAACTGATAATTTTCAGGGAAAAGCTTGAAGCTGTGACAGAAGATTTAGTTTCTAATCCAGGTGCTACTAACTTACCCTATAGTTTAGGTAAATAACTACCTCTCTGGGTCTCAGTTTCTTCATCCATAAAATAGGGATAATAATAACTCCCTCATTTTCCTCATTTTGAAAATGGGAATGATAGTTGTCCTACTTTCCTCCCCTCTAAATTGGGGATGGTAATAATAGCCAGCCTACTCTCCTCAGCAGTGAAATAACTGGGTTGCCTTACTCATTTGCCTACAATATACACTTGACATAGTTCACAGGATTTGGCGGTTTCAAAGAAACAGATACATTAAAGTTCTAGATTGATATCTTTCTTTCTGATATCTTTCAGACGTAAACATTTGTGGAACGTCTACTATGTGACACTTCACAGGCGAGAGGAAGCAATACAGTTCCTGTTCTCATGGAGCTTACAGTCCAGTCGGGGGAGATAAATATTAGTCAAGTAATTACACTAAAACTTGTATATAGTAGGCATTACTTTTGGATAAATGTAATGTGAATGTTCTTTCAGTTCCAGAGCAGAGCTGTGCTGTGAGTGACATTCCTCTCCCTACAGAAGCTCCACAGGCCCCTAAGGTGGAGGGAAATATTACCTGATTCTGGTTTTCTAGGTAGCAGCTTCCTAGAATCAGAAATAGCCATTCCTCTCCTTCCTGTTCCCTAGGACAATTCAATTTTTTTTAGATTTTATCTTTGTAATTTTCATTTGGTCAAAATTAATATTGTTGGGGGGAAGGGGAGAACTCAATTTTTATAAAATGATGATTCTTGTCTTGTTGCCAACCTATTGCAACCGTCACCATCACTCCAGCAATTCCATGGATGGACATGCTATCCAAGTACTGTTAAGTGGAAGCAGGAAGTGATCAGACCCCGAAATGTGCTGCTGGTGTTGCACATCTACCTTCCTTGGCTCCCTCCACCTGCAATGAGGGAGGCAGTACACACTCTGGAAATGTCAGGATGTAAGCCAGAGAACAGAAGTGATTACTGATTCCCATTGCAAAATGAGAACAATGATTCCCATTGTTTTCCAAGAACCCTTTAGTGGAACATTAACACTCTTCATTCCTGAGAAAATGGATCTTTTCAATAACATCCCTCCTCACTCTCTCCCTTCTGACAGCCATTCCTGTCTCTGAGAAACACCTAGCTGCTCCCCAACTCCTCTTTTCAGCACCTTAAAGACCAAAGTCAAACTTTGTTTTTCTCCTATATTGATTGCTTTTCTAACTCCTTGAGCTAATTTTATAACCCTTGTTGTATTGCTGTCTTCTTGACTAGCTTTGAAATGCCCTACAGATCATTCTTCTGATAAAGACCTGCTAGGCAAGGAATTTAGTACCATCTTTCAGCACTAGTCCTTAGCTCCCAGTAGCACATTTGATTTGGCAGTTGAAGGGTCACTTGACAGGATGACCATGTCTTAAGTCCTGGGCCTTTTTGTCTCCACTAACCCAACATTCATGTACATATGGGGTCTGTCTAGACCACTTCCCTCTCCATTACTTCTCTAATGTTGTAATTTTTTTTTTAAGATTTTTATTGGGGAATTGGGGGATAGGAACAGTGCTGGGGAATTGGGGAAAGGGGAACAGACAAGTTGCTGTCCTTTTGTTCTTCAGTCTAGTTGTGGAGGACGTTGCTTCACTGGTCCAAGTTGGCACCATTATTGCGCTCTTCCTGGGCGAGGCAGATCAGTCGCCGGCTTCTGGACGGCCACTCACAGCGGCTGCTGGCAGCTCTCGCTGGCTGCTGGCTACACATGGTAGCCCATGACAACCCACTGCCACAGGGACTGCAGCCTACGCCGTCGCCAGAGACTCATGGCAGCCCAGCTCCAGGTTGAGCTGTTGTTCAGCATCTTAGCTGTAGAGGGCAGTGTCACTGGCCCTCATGTGTGGGATCCGAACTGGGGCCCTCTGGCGTCTCAAGCCAGCTCTTAACCATCGCGCCACTCGGCTGGCCCTCATGTTGTAATTTTTTAGTTTGAAAGGGGGCAGCTTATTCTGCATCCCAAAGGAATAGGATGTTATTGCTTATAGAATGTAAATATTCTCTTCCCCCTTTTGAAATAACAAGATGCATGGCCTGGGGTTAAAAATTAAATTTTAGTTTAGAAGTGAGTTTCAAGACTGGATTGAGGTTGAGTTATAGCTGAGATCTAAAAGTCCAGTTTTGAAAGCTGTGGGTAAAATCCTGTACTCTGCATCTCATTCAGCCCAGCACTAGTTCCAAACCACTAAAGAATACGATGGTAATTTGAGATGTCCTCAGAACACTGTCAAATCCAACTGTCCTCGTAATACTCTATCCAGCTCTGCATTTCTACCCAGATCCATTCTAGCCTCTTCATCCCTCAGGCCTTTAGTGGCGCAGCTGGATGGGGCTGAAAGAGCTTTCAAACCACCTGTCCAATGGACCCTGATCGCCATCTTAAATCATAAGAAGTACATAAAGGAAAGCTTGGGAAGGAGTATGTCAGGAGCTGTCCTTAAAATCCTACTCCTCCCCTGCCCAACACACACATCCAAGTAGCCAACCATGCAGTCCTTGCTGCCAGCCTCATCTCTCAGGAGAAACCCAGCCTCTCGCCTACAGAAGAAGAAGTGGATTAGAGCTCTGGATTAAACATCAGGAGACTGGCATCTAGATCTAATTTTACCCATCAGTAGCTGTGGAATTTGGAGAAAACCGCTTAACCCCTCTGTGTCTTAGTTTCTTAGCTTGTAAAATAGAGAAAAACCTGCCCTTCTTCGTCTTCCTGAGTTTCATGAGGTTGTTTTGAGGGGAGGGGAATGATCTTTGGAGGAACATAGTGCTGAGGCTTTGCACAGATTGCATTCCTACAAACCACTTCTAAATGACTAGGACTTTTTTTTATAGGGCTATTCATGTTTCTCACCAAGGGTGGGGCTGTCGTGTATGGGGTGGAGGCCAGCCTTCAGGAGTGCTATCCATGCTCATGGGTCTCGAAAACCCCCAGTCATGGGGTGTGACCACAATCTGTTCCTTTGGCTTACTTTTGAACTTAATTGGAAGCTAATCTCTGAGAACTGCCCACTTTTCCAGCTCTGCCATTTCCAGCCAGTCTTAAGACCTTTGTCACCTTGGGTGGACCATGTGCAGCCCAGTCAGAGGGTCCTGAGGCTCAATATCTGTTCCAGTACTTATTACTGGGTGGCTGTGGGCAATGCACTTGGTATCTCTGAAACTCAGTTTACTCCTCTGTAACATGGGAAAAATGATATCTGACTCCATAGGTTTGTCCTGAGGATTAAAGAAGACATGTAGAGTACCTGACCATGTTCTTGGTCTCTGTGTGCCTGTTATATGCTCCTCCTCCACTGCTTCTAAGGAGAATTATTGCTAGACACACCTGCCTAAAGGTGACTCATGCAACACAAAGGCATTTAAGAATCAGATCAGAGATGAGACCGCCCCTGCAAATGCTGGTCCTGCCAACTGTGCTGACGCCACTGTCTCCCCCATACCTTTGGTGCCTCATGCAGGGAACATCATCGGCTCTGGAATCTTCGTCTCGCCAAAGGGTGTGCTGGAGAACGCTGGCTCTGTGGGCCTCGCTCTTATCATCTGGATCGTGACAGGTCTCATCACAGCTGTGGGAGCCCTGTGCTATGCTGAGCTCGGGGTCACCATCCCCAAATCTGGAGGTGACTACTCCTATGTCAAGGACATCTTTGGAGGACTGGCTGGGTAAGAGGCTCTGCAGAGGCCTGAGTGGTCTAGGAAGCCAAAGCCAGGGGTTTCCAATGTGCTGAGGGAAGCTAGAAAATGGGATGCCTCTTTTGCCTCCATGTCATGGTTGCTAGTGTGGTCTTGTGTCCCCTCGATGCTCCTGAGAGTGGCAGAGGAACCAGGTTGTAGTTTTAATCTCTGTTGACCTTCGTGGTCAAGAGTCTATGATAGAACTTCGTGATACCCAAGATTCCCAGGGAGAGCCCATAAAAAAACAAAGCCCTTTTCTCTTGACAAATGAAAGTGACCACCTAAGAGATGAGGTACCCTTCTCACATTACCAAAGATAACGGCTTCCCTCTCGAGCCAGGCCCTGATCTTGAATTCCTCAGCTTTTTCGACCCTGCTGCTGAAGAGCTCAGTCCTCACCAAGGAGCGCAAGGGCGCAGAGGACACTTCTCTCAATGCCCGCTCGATGCCTCCCCAGGCAGTTGCTTAAGTGACCACACCCTTAGCATGTCCTGGCTGTCAAAATTCTGGGATTGCAAATTTTATATTCCACCACTGGATGCTGGGGGCCAGAGTAGTAGGAAAGAGATGATTAAAGGAGAGGGGAGAGTGAAAGAATGCTAAGACGTGTGTTAGTACTAGTTGAAACTCAGCTCTTCATCGTTAAACCATTTTATTGTCATTGCTGAGGGCTGGGTTTCTCTTTTGAGGCGGGACTGGGCTCCTCAGCATCTTGAAAACAAAAAGGAAACATGTCTCTTTAACCCACCTGCCTCTCCTAACACTGCCCGGTGACTTGTCCAGGCTTCCTCTGATGACTTCTGAATCCCAGGCATGCCTTTGGTGGGGGTGGGGTGGGGGGGTCTTCATTCCTCTTTTGAGTCAAGTCCCATCCTGTTTCCCCTTCAGGTTCCTGAGGCTATGGATTGCTGTGCTGGTGATCTACCCAACCAACCAGGCTGTCATTGCCCTCACCTTCTCCAACTACGTGCTACAGCCGCTCTTCCCTACCTGCTTCCCTCCAGAGTCTGGACTTCGACTCTTGGCTGCCATCTGCCTATGTAAGTGTCATCTGGGCCTTACTCTCAGAGCAGACACTTTTAGCCTTCATGGTGGTCTCCATATCTCTGCTTCTCCTTCCTCTCCCTCTTTCTTTTATTCCCTCGTTTATTTTCCCCCCATTACTTTTCTTTCCATTTCCTACATGTGTGCTTTGGATGCATGGATGTTGCATACAATTACCTGGTGTTAAAAAAAGAAGAAACATGAGTTGCTGCTCAGAGACACAGTAATTTTCATTGGCAGGGTTCTTTACATTATACAAAGCACTTTGACTTACATAATCTGATATGAGCAAATGGGAAATCCAGGAGCTAAGCTGGGCAGAATTATCATTTTTCCTAGTGCCAATAAAGTAAGTGGAGCCAACAGTGATTCACTCAAGGTGGCAGACCCTGAGTGGAGCCCCGGTATCCTGATTTGTTCTCCTCCCAGCACACGCACTGCGCTGGAGGCTCCTGTTGCTCATAGAAAGGTTTTTCTGGCCTCGTCCACCTCTACCTCAACCTGCCAGCTCACATTTTAAAACTCTTTGGGGGCGGCCGGTTAGCTCAGCTGGTTAGAGCACAGTGCTCATAACACCAAGGTTGTCGGTTCAATACCCACATGGGCCACTGAGTTGCACCCTCCACAACTAGATTGAAACAACTACTTGACTTGGAGCTGATGGGTCCTGGAAAAACACACTGTTCCCCAATAAAATTTAAAAACAAACAAATACACAAAAACTATTATCGATGGAGAGTTTAGAAGTGTGAGTTGGGGGGAATATGTGCATTGTCTGGCTGTGGCTCCTTGATAAGTTTTCTAACTGTTGAGAAAAGCCATATAGACAGATTTTGTGGTTAGGATTCAACTTCAGTAAGGATTCAAAGAAGGGGGAAAGATCTCTGTGAGCTGGAATAGGTTAGAGAGGCTTTACAGAGAAGTTCTGCAACCTCTATTTCTAAGAAGTCTCAACATTTAATCTCTGATATCACAGATCTCAATGGATGAAGGAATTTTACATCTGTCAACCAAAAACTAATTTCTAAAGTAAATATTTGGATCTTTCAGAGGCTCCACTTCTAGAGTTAGCTCTGTCTCTACCTTCCCACACCTTCCAACACACATACACTTAGCTGCAGGTAGTGACCATGCTGGCCACACTCTTTCCCAGGTTTTGAACTTTCCTTCTGTCAGCTGGTAGGATGGCAAGGGAGGGGTCACACGCCCATCCTAAAGCCTCTCATAGGACAGCCAGATGGGCCCCAAGGGGAGGTCTTCTTGGCAAGCATGCCCTTTTTGGCAGTGATGTTCAGCCCTGCGATAGATCCCCATCATCCAGGCAAGTGATACTATGGAGCCAAGACACTTGTTTGGGGTGTATTGCTTGTGTTTGGTCAGGCCTGCTCATGGATCTAGAGAGGGATGTGGGCTCCAGAACCAGGCTGCTGGAGGCTGCCATCTCCACACCATTATGAGTGTTTGGCAAAGTAAACTGCCCCTCCCTGCTGTGAGATGGGGGCTGGAATCCTGCCTGCCCCAGAGGTCATGGTTGCAAGGATTGCAAGAGACAACAAATGTTCTTAGCACTGCATCGGGCACCTTGTGGTGCCATTAGTCAGTGAGGGTGGTCAGTGAGGATAGTCACTTGGTTCTTGCTTGCTAACTGGATCTAGAGCTGGGAGATGAGGAGAAGGGAAGAGGGTGTGGGAATGCAGAAAGAGTTGCTGTATCTGCCATCAGACAGACTTATGGCAGTTGGAAGGGGGACCACATGAGTGCTGGCCAATGCTATTTCAGCATCTCGTGCACATAGACAGGGCTTCCTTTTTCCTGCTGATTCTGCAGGAAAATAGTGTTTCAGACAAGAGGCCACCCTTACCCTCCAAGTAGAAGTCGAGAGTCCTGAGCTGCTCAGTCCATCCCCTAGGAGAGAAACCAAGCCACAGAGGATGGTTTCCTGGGCAGCTGGACCCCACAGTTTCCTTTGCATTCTCCAAACCCTCCAAGGGTTGGTGACCTCTTGAGCAAAGACTCAAGCAGTATAGCCTCATAGATATGCCCTCAGGCCAGAGAGGTGCAAACCTCCCAAGTGATAAGGACTGCTCCTGCCTGTAGCTCAGCTCCAGAAAGACAGGTTGTACAAGTTCCCTTCCACAGTCCATACCTCACCTGGACACTGCTAGCACCAAGCGAGGAAAATTTAGGAACTCTAACAAAAAGTAAGATCCCTCCCCCTCCCAATTCCTGAGATTAAAGGTTTAATACAGCTTATCTGGCTTGTCCTCTCCCTTCTAAGTAGAACTGCAAAAAAATTATGACCAACTTAACAGTAGTCAATCTTGCTCTCCAGAGGTAGGAATTTCTCAATGTCCTTGAGACATGTGTTCAAATATTTTTCCACCTTCATAAGCAGGAAAATCTTCTTAAACCCAAGCTTATTTCTCCTCATTTCCTTGGGGAGATAGAAAACAGCGTCTCACCTCACCCTGTGAACTACCCCTGTCCTCCCAGATGTGAAGGCCATGTAGAGCCCCCAACTTCCCATAGGAGTGTACATGTGGACATAGCTACAAACCCACATTTCCCCACCAGGCACTTCCAGGTACTTTGAGAATGTGTGAAAAGGTTGTTTTCTGGTTTGTTGAAAAAAAAAATTTTTTTTTAGCCTACTTCTATAGGCCCCTCAAATTGTCTCTTAAGATATCTAGTAAAATAGGAACCAAGCTGTCAGGAAGTCTTGGTGGATGCTATCTTTCACTAAATGCTGATATTCCAGCACCCCTCCAACCATCCTCTTAGCAGGAGCTGGGCAAGCCAGCCATGTAGAATAGGCCTAGTGTTCTCTGGCAGTGGAGCCAAGAGTGGCCCAGTCCAGCCATATTCTTAAGAGAAGTAGTAGAGAGCTTGGCGATGATCTGAATGTATTTGATATAAGAAGCTCTGCTTTCTGCTGTGTCATTTTGGTGTGCTGATGACAGACTGGATCCACTGTGGAAATGAATTTTTGAGGAAGAGGCCAGCCCTCTGTGGAGAGGTTGCTGGTATATAATGGAGGGCATCCCAGTTGAAGGAGCTGGAGGACAGGGCAAGAGCCCAGAGTGGAGAACCAATGTGGCAAAGCCCCTGGCTGGGGTTCATTGTGGGAGGGAGGAGATGAGGTCAAGTCTGGTTCCATGGGGCTGTTTTGGAATAGATTCAATGAGAAATGATGGTGGGAGGAGCCAGCTGGGGGTGGGGAGGCAGAAAGAACCTGCTGTAACTGGCTTGCCTGCACGGAGTTTGGAGGGGGAAGGGAGGAGAGGAGAGGGAATGAGAGAAGGAACTGCAGATTTAGATCACGCTTATGCAACTGCAGCTGCCACTTTGCGTTATTTTATGATTTAGGTCAAAGCTGATTATTCACTGCTGAGTCGGCAGAATATTCCTAGCCACCAGGCAGTGAGAAAAAAAACCTATTTTACGTTTTAATTAAATGAAAAGCCTTTCTCCCTTCTCCAGAGCCAGCATATTAGTGGGAGGAGGGAGTTAGGAAGGAGGGGAACAGGAGGTGTTAAAACTTGGTTTTGGTGCCTTCTTTTATGATTTGCTTGAGTCTTTCTTTCTTTCTTTTCCTTCCTCCCTCCCTCCCTCCCTTCCTTCCTTCCTTCCATCTCTCTCTCTCTCTTTTCTTTCTTTCTCCCTTTCTCTCTTTCTTTTCCTTCTTTTTGCTTGTTTGTTTGGGTTTTAGTATTTCATAAGTAAATGATGGTATTCTCTAGGTAAAAGATGTTCCCCTTATCTTCACCCCTCTCCCCTGCCCAGTAGCCCTGGTAACAGTGGACAGGTATCCTTTCAGTTCTAAATAAACTACAGCTATCAATGAACGTATCTGGGTAGACAGACATACATGTTGATAGGTTATTTCTGCAACTTGATCTTTTTTTTTTTTTTTTTTAAGATTTTATTGGGGAATTGGGGGAAGGGGAACAGACAAGTTGCTATAGTTTTGTTCTTCAGTCTAGTTGTGGAGGACGTTGCTTCACTGGCCCAAGTTGGCACCATCATTGCGCTCTTCCCAGGTGAGGCAGATCAGTCGCCGGCTTCTGGACGGCCGCTCACTGCGGCTGCTGGCCGCTCACGCTGGCTGCTGGCTATATACGGTAGCCCATGGCAACCCACTGCCACAGGGACTGCAGCCTACGCCGTCACTGGCGACGCATGGCAGCCCAGCTCTAGGTTGAGCTGTTGTTCAGCATCTCAGCTGTGGAGGGCAGTGTCACTGGCCCTCATATGTGGGATCCGCACTGGGGCCCTCTGGCATCCCAAGCCAGTTCTTAACCAACGCGCCACTCGGCCGGCCCTGCAACTTGATCTTTTATCATTTATTATAGCTGCATTTTACCTGAGTTTCTAGTTATAAAAAAATGTCGCCCCAGTGACACAGAAGGAGCACCAGGTGTTCTGAGGTCCTGCATTTGTGCTTCTTGCTTCCTAACTCTGGGTTTTCCTTTGTGATCTGTTTGTCCGCCCCGTCTTGGAGACCAGGCAACCTGCTCCTGGCCTCCTTCCTCTCTTTTGGGGCTGGCATGTAAGTAGATTTTTCTCTTCTCATTCAGGTCTCCCTCTTGTCTCTGAATGCCTTGTACTAAAGAAGCTCCTTCTTCTTTCTTACCCTGAGGAGAAAGGAATATTCTGCATGCATTTCACAAGTAAAAAATGCTTATCTTGTTTTCTATCTATCTACTGAGATTCCTAAGAGGCTAATTTTCCAGGGCTTCAGATTTCTTCTTCTTAAGGACTTCACTGTGTGCATTTCTTTTAACCCTGGGTTGTTCTGCAATTCCTCTACAGAAAGTTTCCAGATACTTGATGCAAGGCGCTGTGATAGATAAACTTGTGTGTGTTGTTCTGCACATGTCTTGCAAATTAATCCCTTGACATCAGAGGACTCAACAGCTTTTCTTAGCATCTAACTCCCTTCAGTTCAGTTCATTTTCCTTTAAGGCTTCATATTCTTGAGCCCCAAACTTCCCAT